TTATTTTTGTGCTATTTAATTTGGTTTTCTAAAGAAGCAAAGGACCAAGTGCTTACCAGTTGGCAGTGGACTGGAGAGACTTAGGGCCTGTCAGCGGGCAGCCCCTCCCTCTCGGATTCTGTCCAATGGCCGTGCCCCACATCGGGCCACAGGGGCCCCATGCTAATGTCTCATGCAGAGCTGGTGTAGGGTTCCTGGGAAGGCAGAGGTAAGCCCTCTTCTCACAGTCCTGGAAGTGGCCGAACAAGTGTATGTTGATGGATGAACAGATTTCTCAGAATTTCAGAGGTAATGAAGATAGTGGTCTGCTCCAGTTTCCTTTTAATTTTCCCCCCTCCTGTTGATGCTGTGCATTTCCCATAGTTATTGTATAAATGAAAAGAGGCATCCAGTTTTGCTGGGAAGACTTAGAATGTTAACTACCAGAGGTTCTTTCTTTTTCTTCACTTCACTTTCTTTTTCTTCACTTCACTTTTTCTTCACTTTCTTTTTCTTTCACTTCCAGAATTTCTAAGTCTGGAAACACCAACCTACGAATTTGCCTCTCAAACCTGGTGTGGATCAAGAAGGACAGAGGAGATTGTGGTACTTTGATGTCCCTAGTCCTTGCCAGAATGTGTCCAACTAGCTGCCTCTCTTCCTCTCTTCTCCTCCTCTCTCTTTTCTCCTCCCCCCACCCCATCTTTGTAAGTCTTGCTAGTAAAACACAGAAAGGAAGTGCACTTTTAAGAAATTGTCAGTCCTTTTGACAATGGCATTTACACATCAAGGCCACCTGTAGGGTGGGGTGATCCAGGCTGCTATTATTTCTGTGCTGTTTGATTCCTTATTGAAATTGGACCTGCCTAGATTTTCTACTTCTACTGCCACTGTGACATAAGCAGGCATGAACCAGTGACACAAATGGCTGATGTCCTGAATGAAGTGTTCTTAACTTTTGGTTGTATATTGCAATTCCTCATAAAACATTAATTCTCTTAAGGTGGTACTGTTTTTAAAAGGCTAGAGCACACATTTATTTCTTAATAGCTTCCAAAACAGAGCACAGAAAAACAAATCATTTTCTGAAAAGTCAGGGTGTTTATGGTTTATGAAAGGATCCTGTTGACTATTGATACAGTTTTCCCATCTCCTCCACAAGAAGCTCAGTTACTTTTCTTCATTAATATTATAGAAGTAGACAGACATTGCTTTGGTATAATTGTGACAATGTTCTCAAGTCTTACCTACAATAAAGTTTTCAGTATCAGAATCAGTTTTGTTTGGGCTGCTGGTGGTGGTGGTACTGGGATTTGACTTCAGGGCTTGCTAATTGCTCTTTATTTGGGCTATATTCTCAACCCTTTTGTTATTTTCTTGAATACACTCTACTTTCTTTTGCACAGGATGTCTTAGATCATGATCCTCCCATTTCTGCTTTCTGAGAAGCTAGGAGGACAAATGTGCACCATCTTGCACAACTTATTATTGGTTGTGCCAGCATCTCATGACCTTTTACTCTGTGCATGTCTCAAAGCATGGTCCTCCTGATCTAGCCTCCTGAGTGGCTGATATTAGTGATGCATCATTTCCAGCTTAGTTTTTCATTTGCTGTTTTCAATCAGGTTCCTACTAAATTGGTAGGCCTGGTCTAGTACGTCATGAGCTCAAGACATTCTCCTGCCTTAGCCTCTTGAGTAGTTGGGATTACAGGTGTGAACTACCACCCTTGGATAGTAAAGAAGGAAATTTTCATGAAATCGGACTCAAGCCCTGATTTGATCATTTTTGTGAAGTTGGCCAGTTTGAAGTAGGAAAACTTGGAATAAGCCAGTTGTCTAGAGAAGTATAGAACTAGCAGACACTTGGTGATTTTTAAAATTTATTTTTGTGCTGGTACTAGAGCTTGAACTCAGTGGCTGGGTGCTGTCCCTCAGCCTTTTTCACTCAAGGTTAAAGCTCTATCACTTGAACCACATCTCCATGTCTGGCTTTTTAGTAGTTAATTGAAGTTAAGAATCTCATGGACTTTCCTGCCCAGGTTGGTTTTGAGCTGTGATCCTCAGATCTCAGCCTCCTGAGTGGCTAGGATTATAGCTGTGAGTCCCTGCCATCTGATTGGGATATTATTTTAAAAATAACATTAAAAAAAAAAAGCTTTGGACTCATACTTGAAAGACATTTCGTCTTACTAACAGCAAAGTTGTATTCATTTTGTTTTCTTATTTCCCTGTCCAACCCCTGACTCCTGCCATTTATTGAACCCAGAAGTAGTTGATAACCAGGGATGTGCTCTCTTAGAAGAGAGTCATGAGTCACAAATGCCACATGGCTTCTTTCCCACCCCTTTCATTCAAAAGAATAGGAAACGCATGGAGTTCTTGCGGTTTTAGTGTTAGGATGTGGGGTTAGGGGGAGAGATTGTGAGGGCCTGTGGTTGAAACTAAATTTCTTCCCCTTCCCCTCCCCTCTCCTCCTCCCTCCCCCTTCCCTAATCTTTCTCCTCCCTTCTTCCTTCCCCCTCCCCTCCCTTCCCTTCCCCAACATGTACTGTCATTTTCTATGCTCTGACTTAAAGGATGACCTACAGAACTTGCAAGGACTTAGGGCAGTCCCAGAAACTAGTTAACTTCTTCTGTCCTACTGGGTGACACAGAAGAGAGCAGGTTCCATCTGTCGGGGAGAGGGGCTGAACTGTGCTGTCCCAGTGGGGAGGGGAAGGGAAGGCTGTTATGGAAGGCAAGGGAGAATCACTGTTGCCGTTTGCTCCTTCATCCAGTGTCTGGAAGTCCTTTATGGGCAGGGCCAGGGGTCATTTCTAACTGTGACCCAACTGACTTTCAAGGATACAGTGAATTAATCACACCTAAGAAGGAGGTCTTTTTTCTTTTTCTTTTTTTTTTCTCAATCAATCTGAGAAAAAAAAATGACTTGCCATATTTCCTTGCCCTGCTCCTAGGATCAAGTGTTAGAAATGAGAGTGAAGTGGTCCTTCTCGATCACTTCACTCCCAGTCAAACACATCTACCTGAGAGTGTCTAAGGTGACCTGAGCTTTCATGTAGAAGGCTGTTTTCCTCATGGGGATAAACCCTTGTGCTCTGTGCTTTGTACTTTTATTTGTGTAGGACATGAGCAATTGCCTAATAAAACAGCACGGTGGTACTCATAACACCTGATTATAAGACCTGTTATTAGGGAGTGTGTTGACTTTGCTGGGACAAGACTTCCTAGCTTGCTGCTTAAATAATTAGTTCCTCCAAGTGGGGGTGATAATGTGTAGTGTAAAATTCTACTTATTTAAAAGGAAAAAAATGTTTATTATCTCTTGGGTGGCTTTTCTGCCTCATTGGGAGGGCTTTGTCTAGAGTGGGGTATCTGGGATGGAGTTGTTCAAGAATGACAATAGATGGATATGAGTGGCTGATGCCTGTAATACTAGCTACACAGGAGGCTGAGGATCACAGTCTCAAGCCAACCTCGACAGGAAAGTCCAAGAGACTTTATTGTTCCTCTCCAATTAATCAGCAAAAAGCCAAAGAAAAACTGTGCCAGCTTATATTACATATATTATAATTGTAGTATATGCAGTTAACATCTGTTTACTTGCTTGCATGAAATTATTTTAAATCCTAATGAAAGGGTAAATCAACCTCCCTCCCTCCCTCCCTCCCTTCCTTCCTGTTTTTGTAACAAAGGCTCACTAAAATGAACACTAAGATGAGAAAAAATTGCATCCCCCCCCAGGGAGAAAGATTTTTTTTCCTGGTCTTGGGGCTTGAACTTGGTGCCTGAGATTTATTCCTGAGATTTAGTAGACAAGGATAGTGCTTTATCACTTTGAGCCACAGCTCCACTTCTGGCCTTTTGTGCTGATTAATTGGAGATAAGAGTCTCACAGCCTTTCCTGACCTGGCTGGCTTCCAACTGTGATCCTCAAATCTCAGCCTCCTGAGTAGTTAGGATTACAGGAGTTGCATTACTGGCACCCAGCTTGAGGGATGGGTTTTTAATTAGAAGCAAAACTCTGGGTAGACAATGGTGTTGTACTAGCATTAGTCTCTGGGCCTGTCTTGTCTCACTCTCTGGAATGTTCCTTCACTCAAGCGGGGAAAATCTTTTGTGATTACCAAGATGTTGTCTTTGCCTCCCAGATGATATCCCCTGGTTTTTACTTGGCATTGTCTTTGTTTGCTATCAGTGGGTCTGAACTCAGGGCCGTGGGCATGGCTGTTAGGCTGGACCTTCCAGTGATTTTCTTGCACTGGTGATTTTCAGGGTAAGGTCTCACTTCCCACCCTGGTTGTGTGGCTGTACCCTGATTTTTCTTATTTTTTACTTAGGGAAGACAGGTGTGTACTACCATGTCTAGCTTCTCTTTTTGGAGATGGAGTTTTGAGGCCTTTTCTGCTTGGGCTGCTCTTGAACCATGGATTTCCCAGTCTTAGCCTCCCATGTAGTTTGGGATGACAGGTATACACCATGGTGCCCATCTGTATGTTGAGAAACAGTCTCGCAACTTCTCTGTTTAGGCAGGCCTTGAACAGGGAGCCTCCAGATCTCAGCATCCAAAGTAGTAAGGACCACAGTTGTAAGCTATCAGCTTGTTTGGCATTTTTACTATCTGAGAATGTTTGACTTTATCCTCAGAAAGACCTCTAGGGCAAGATTGTTGTTATTATTGGTCTGTTTTAAAGTTCTTCACTAACTGCCCAGCTGAGGCATTAGAGGTTACATTCACATGGCTGCCTGGAGACTCTGGTTTTGATCTCCCAGTTCAGGGTATTTTTCCCCCCTTGTCTCTGCCCCTTCTGGAAGCTTGACAGAATAGTAATAATCCTCTATGATTAGAGTAATTTGGGTTTCAGCAGACTTCATGATGGTGCATTCAGAATTGCTGACTTTCATATAGCTTAGGTTACAGTTCATTTTTGTGGTTCTTTTTTTTTTTTTTTTAAAGAAAAAAAACACACACAAAAACACAAAACTCCAAACCAAAAATTTGTGGTGTTTGTCTTGCAGGAAGCCAGTGGAGGGAACTTCTCCATGAATGTATGTCACCATGATGATGACCGACCAAATCCCTCTGGAACTGCCCCCACTTCTGAATGGAGAGGTCGCCATGATGCCACATTTGGTGAATGGGGAAGCGGCCCAGCAGGTTGGTGCTGAAATAGGACACCTTGTCTCAGTCCACATTTGGTTTATCTTGGGATGCAAAGGTTTCTGTTTGTGTTAGTGCCAGAACCAGGGTGTGAACTCAGGGCCTTGCGCCTTCACTCAGCTTGCTTGCTCAGCTAGCACTCTACCACTTGAACCACACCTCCAGCATAGCTTTTCCTTCCTGGGCTGGCTTTGAACTGTGGTTCTGTGATTTCAGCTTCCTGAGTAGTTAGAATGACAGAATTACAGGCTGGTGCCTGGCCAAGTTTTTTTTTTTTTTTTTTTAAGTTATAAAATTAGTTTTTGGCTCTCAAGAAAATACCAGAAACTGTTGTTTATGAGAACAGCAACTTTACCTTATCTGGTTAGTATCCTTAAAGCATCAAAAGCTCCCAAAAGGTGTGATCTTTTTTTTTTTTTACATGAGTCATGGAGCCTATGCATGTCTTTGGAATGAGAGGGTGGATTCTCTGGGTCTGAGAATCTGCTCCCCTGGTCTCTTGCATGGGCATTACAGGCAGCCCAGAGGGGTGGGTTCTGACTTCACAGTGCCCTGACCTGGGCAAGGTGCTCAGGTCAGGATGAACCTACTGGAGCTTTTGGAATAGTTCTTCCCAACGTGTGCCCCATAAAACCAGAGTACTCATTTTGTCAAACTCCTTTGTCCCTAGCTTACTCAGAATTATGGGACAGAAAAGTATTTCTGAACTCAATCAGCTGGCACTTGGGGAAACTATTTAGAATATAAAACTTCAAAAAAAAAAGTAGAACTTAACATTCAGTAGGAATTATTATCTCTGATAGCATCAATTCAGTTTTCTTTCTAACATGTTTATTTTATTTTTTGCTGGTAGTTGAGCTTGAACTCAGGGCCTGGATGCTGTCCCTCAGCTTTTCCCTTAAGGTTGACACTGTACCAGTTGAACCATAGCTCCACTTCTGGTTCTTTGCTAGTTAATTGGAGATAAGAATCTGATGGAGTTTTCCTGTGGGGGCTGGCTTCAAACAATGATTCTCAGATCTTGGCCTCTTGAGTAGCTAGGATTACAGGTATGAGCCACCAGCGCCTGGCTCCTAGGTTGACTTTTTAAGGTAGATGGTGTTGTAGCTACTTCTCAAATGACTCTTGTGGAGCACTATAGTCTGGCACTGGGTTTTCTGGCAGTGTGTGTTAGGAGTGTGAGTGGTGTATGTGTGTGAGAGTGTGCATGTACATACACTCACAGCATTGTTAGTGTACCCCAGCTGTCCCAGCCCATTATGAGCATTTCTAGTATGCACAGGACCCTTCAGTAAGGAGAGAGTTCCTGCCTCCTCAAGCCTCCTTCTCCTGACTAACGGGCCTGAAAGCTGGATTTGATTAGATCAGCTTATGCCAGGGTTCTGGCTCTCTAAATGAGAGATTCTCTTAGTTTTCTTTATTAGAAGTCCTATTAAACTGGAAACTTGATTTGTCATCTTATGGGAACAGAGATTGTAGATGATGGTTCTTCATAAAGCTTTCCTTATTACGAATGGAATGAGAAAAAATGGATTGTCCTCTAAAAAGAAGCAGTAAAACTCAATTGGACAGAGAGCATGGACATTTGTATTGAACTTTAGTGCCTGTAGTATACACCTTACCCATTTAGTACATGGTGGAACTTGGTGTATTCACATAAGCTTTAAGTTTTTATCACTGTGACAGAGTACCCGAAGAAGACAAAGATTTATTTTGGCTCCTAGTCTCAGAGGTTTCAGTCCATGATGGGAAGGCTGCCTGGGAGCCTGAGTGAGGCCAAGTGTCCTGGTGGGGCGTGATGGAATGAGCTACTCACCTCAAGGCAGCCAGGAAGCAGAGAGCGGTAGTGAGAGAGCGAGAGCAAGAGGGACAGAGACAGGCACCATCAGGGATGAGGTAAATCCTTCTAGAGCTCACCCCCTATGTCCAGTTTCCTCTAGTTGGGCCCACCACTTAGTTTCCATCAACTGCAAATAGTTCCATAGAAGTATGACGCTGTCAATGTGTAAATCTATTGACCCTCAGCCTGATGATCCAATAACTTACCCCCGACCTTCCTTCTCATCCTTGTAGTGGGGGACGATTCAAGTGCATACCACCACCAGAGCTTTGCAGAAACCTGAGTACAATTGATTTTAGGGTGTTTGGACATAGTGAAAAGACTCTGATGAACTCACTCCCTCATCTCTGTTTCTTCCACCAGTCTCAGTGAACCACTGATCTGTTTTCTCTGCAGATATTCCTTGCTCTGGACCTGTCATAGAATGAATTCTTGCAGGATTTTCTGCAGCATTCCTACTTGTGCCTGATCTCTGGCACTTAGAATCTTTTCTGGGTTTGTGTGTTTTTTGTTTTTGTTGGTCGTGGGCCTTAAACTTTGAACCTGGGCGCTGTCCTTGAGCTTTTCAGGTCAAAGTGAGCGCTCTACTTAAGCCACAGCACCACTTCTGGTTTTCTGGTAGTTAATTGGAGATAAGAGTCTCATGGAATTTCCTGCCCAGGCTGGCTTTGAACTACAATCCTCAGATCTCAGCCTCCTGAGTATCAAGAATTATAGGCATGAGCCACCAGTGCCTGGCATGGTTCGTCTGTTTTGTAGCAGTGTATCCATGCTTATTTCCCTCCAGTCCCCTCTCCTCCCTCAAATATCCCAGTGTATAGTAGACCACATATTATTAATCCATTTGTCAAGTGAAAAAAATTTTTGGCTATTATGAACAGGGTTACTATGAACATTCACGTATAAATTCTTGTGTGACCATCTGTCTTCATTTGTCTTGGAGACATAACTTAAGAGTGAAATTGGAGAGCTTCATTGTCTTCTAAATAAAGTATTGTTATTTGCTCATCAGTAGTTTTATCTGCCTTTGGGTAATTGTAACCCAGCATAACTAAGTAAAGTTGTCTTTCTTAATATTCCTTACAAAGTCTTATTCTTGAGGTTTTTTTGTTTTTTGTTTTTAAATTATACTGGGGTTTGAACTTAGGGTGTTACAGCTGTTAGATATGTGGTCTACCACTGGAGGTACACTTTACATTTCTAGCCTGTTTTGCTCTGGTTCTTTTCTTTTGGGGGGGAGGGGGCGGGTTCTGCTCGTAGGGCCTGAACTCTGGGCACTATCCCTCAGCTCTTTAGCTAGTGCTCTACCACTTGAGCCACAGCGCCACTTCCGGCTTTTTTCTTTCTGCTTATGTGGTGCTGAGGAATCAAACCCAGGGCCTCATACATGCAAGGCAAGCGCTCTACCACTGAGCCACCTTCCCAGACCTCTGGTTCATTTTTTGAAGTTGATTATTGATTTTTGCCTGGGGCAACCTGGAGCATGATCTTCCTATTTACTTCTAGGATGATAGGCAAGTGACACTATGCCCCCGCATTTGTATGTTGAGATATCGTCTTGTGAGCTTTTTGCCCTGGCTAGTCAGTCTGGAGCCATGACTGTCCTGATCTCAGTCTTTTGAGTAGCTGGGATTACAGGTATAATTCACAAGAATTAGATTTTAATTGAGTTTTTACCATGTGACCGTACAAATAACAGTGAATATCATTCAATAATCAGAGAATTGGTGCTTTCAGCGTCTGGTGATGCAGTCCTGTAATTCCAGCACTTGGTAGGCAGAGGGAGGTGGGTCCTAAGTTCCAGGCTAGCCAGGGCTATGTAACAATAGCCTGCCATTTAGGAAAAGAAAAAAAAAAAAAAGAGGAGCAGGAAAAATTGGTATCTGTGTTGATATTTCCAGAGCTATTAATAATAGAATTCAGCTGTCTTTGTTTTGAGGTTTAAAGATGTAGCAGCTAACTGTAAGCATGAAAGAATAAATACCAGCTCAATTTCTGCCTTTTATAAATGGGAAAGAATCACAGCATTTGCCAGTTAGATAAAGAAACCATTATGTTGGGAACAGAGATGTTCACAAGGGTGACAGAGTTAGCTGATTGGTTGATTTTATCTGTACATACACAAAGGGAAAATGCCACCTTGTATTCTTGTTGGGGACTCCTGCTTCCTGGGACCTGGGGCTACGTTGGTGGCTTTCTCTCTCCTGGTTAGCATTCAGCACATAGAAGTCACCTAGTGAATGTTCTATGTGTCTTACTGTAGGATTTTCTCTTATCATCCCCCCCCCCCCCCCCCCCCCCCCGCTTTTTTAAGCTTCTTGGATATTAATTGCCCACAAGTGCTTTTAATGCTTCTTCAGGACATCAGTCCTGTTAAGTGTAAATAGAAAAACATTATCTGCCTTACTAGCTTGGGAGCATGTGTGACAAAGCTTGCCCTCAGAGACAGGAGGTTAGCAATGCTGTCATAATTTCGGTTCTGACTTTGTCTAGCCGTGGCGATGCACACATCATTTCACCAAGCATTTCACCAAATGTTTGACATTTCTTTTCTCATTTCTTCTGTGATTTTTTTGTATTTTTATGTTGCAAAATCCTTGTTTCTTCTCAGACATTTACATTGCCAGAGTTTTCCCAGAGCATTTTTTTGTGTTAAAATGTACTAAATGTGCTAAGACATTTCAGATGGCACTTATTTATCAACTGTAACCTCCTGGCCTCATCCAGTGACCTTTCTGCTCTGGCTTTTACCTTCTTAGCTTTCCCGATGGCCTTTTCTTGCTTTTAGTAGTTCAGATTCTTCATTGCTCAAGTTCAGTCTCTAAATATACTGAGAGCCCCTGTGTCAGGGAACTCATAAAGAGTATTATGTATATAACAGGCCTCTTATACTCCTCAAAACCCTAGTGGAGGATGTTTTACAGACAGCCTCTCCTAGAGAGGTAGATGCACAACTCCAGGGAGAGTACTCAGGAATAAAGATGATATTCAGTGAGAGCGGACATTAAATAAATGGCATTCAGCTGTGCCTCTGAATGTCCTTTTATATATAGTGCCTTTCCTCATAGAAGCCTTCCTGGGGCCGATGCTCACTCTAGAAAGTAGACTTAGATGGGCGAAAGGTTGAGTTTGGAATACCAAACACGAGAAAGCTGAA